GGCGCGGCGAAGGGGGGGGGGTGGGCCGAGGGCGGCGGGCACGGGGACCGCGCGGCGCGGCAGCCCCGGAGACGAGCGCCCTCTACCGAGCGAGGCGCGGCGGCGGGTCGGAGCCGAGGAGCCGGCCCCGCGCGGCCGGGGAGCGCTGCGGGCAGAGGGCCGGCGGCCGCTGCGAAGTTCATTAGGGTTTTATTACTCGGATCGGGAACGAGGTGCTCTCTAGGCTCTCGTAGTATCGCATTTCAAAGAAAAAAAAAAAAAAGAAAAAAAAGAAATTGGCTTCTCCCTTTTTTCCACGGGCTAGAATCCTAAAAAATATTTCAACCGGCGCTGAGTACGAACGTAAGAAACAAGCTTGAAAGGTTACGTCTGTTATCTCCGAACTCCGTCCGCTGTGCCTGCCAAAAAAAGCCTGGAGAGCAGTTTCACACCGATACAGTTGTTAAAATATTATTCCTAATGCAACAGTGACGTAAAGCACTACACATAGTATGGAATCCTGCTACACTGAGTGGCGCAGAACTTGCACGTTCGGATCGTCTCCTCTGAAAGAGTTTACCATTACAGTGCAAGAGCAGAAAAAACGGGTAGATCAGGGCAAAAGAGGAGGAACAACCAGACAAATACCCAAACACTGTTTCAAGGAGCATGCAGAAAACAAAAAGGTTGTGATTTACTCAGAATCAATGTCACGGGGCAGGGAACAGAGCAAGCTCTCGTATTTTATTTGTATTTTTATACTCTGAAACCCCAGTCAGAGTAAAGGAAAGAGGTGTCACAGAGTTGCAAAAGAGCTTTGACCGTGCAACTAAATCAGCATCTCTCCAGAGGAACCCACTCTCACATACCCAACCTAGACATCACGCCTTAAAGGGGAGTTTGGAGAAGCCAAGAACCAAATGCGTTGATCCAAGTCATCAGTTATGTCTTCATGTGCTGGGAGAAGACACTTACAGACTCTTTACCAAACTGCTTCATTACAGAAAGCCACTGGTGGCAGGAAGTACCCTTTCAGTTTCTGTCTATACAACGTACCGCACATGGACTTACTGATCCATGAGTGGAATTTTTAGGCATTACCGCAATACCAAGGTCTAAAGATGTGATCTAACAAATCTAGGCCATACAGTCCTTGTTGACTCCTGATGGTAAAGAGGTTACCACGTTAAGAGAAAGCAGGGCTAGGAATATTCTTCACTGAGTAACGGGTGTATCTAAAAGGCTTTAACTGAGAAGAATTTTCAATAATATTCTTCAGTGGAACCTTTTGATAACATGATGGACATCTATGACGTTCCATCCATTCCATCATTTCCAAACCAAAGGGTGTGCTTTCTTGGGAAAAAAAAAACCCTTCCCACCATTCAGCCTCGTCTTAGAAAAGTTCTGACTACGACAAGGGAGAAGTACCGGCTACACAATGAAGTCCATTACAGATACGGCAATCGAACTATCATCAAAGGTACTCAGATACAATGGTGAACAGCAGCAGCGTAATTCCCTAGATGGATTTATTCCCATTTCAGTCATTACTTTTTTTAACTCACTAAAATATAAATGGCCAGATACACTCAAACACCATGTATGGAGTTCCCAATTCTTTTAAAGAACAAAACTAATGCTTGCAGGAAGTTTGGATAGCAACGGAGAAGCTTCTCAGCTCTTGAAGCTGGTTTTTTTGCACTCCCTCTCCTTTACCCCTTAGAAAGAAAGGACAGTAGTAACTGCAGTTCATTTTAAGAGAGGTGCCATTTTCCCTTCCCAATGACTCTTTTATGCGAGTAAATCACTGGATGGTGCAACAGATTGTTTATGGGTGGAATTCATAAACGGAATTCCTGAAGCAGAGGGGACTACCAAAAAGACAGGAAGGATGGTCTTGTGGTTAAGACAGAAAACTCAGGACATCTGGGGTCTATTCCCAGATCTCCCACAGACTTCCTGTTGCCTTGGGCAAGTTGTTTAGTCTCTCTGTGCCTCAGTTTCTGTATCTGCGATATCCAGATGGTGACCAATCAGAGTGGCAGCTTCTGAACCTAAATTCAGGACAGGAGAGAAACCAATTTTCAGCTCCTGCAGTAACAATACAGTAAAACTTCCATTTCTTTGTATCTCACAGACTCTGCCGAATTAAACGGCAGCAGGGCAGGAGAAGGGGGAGCGACGAGAGCTGTCATTTGGGATTAAGGTGGCAGTGGCTTCTGAAGTCTCTGCCTCCCCTGATGATGGACTGTAAGCACTACACGTCTTAAAATCATATTAATCTTTCCCCCAGTAACTGTTTGTCTTGCTCCAGTTCCAAAGCCCTCTAGCTGGAGAAGGGAGAGGGGAAAAATATCTCTGAGGAAGGGCCCTAACACCACAGTGTTTTTCTCACTCTCTCCCTCTTCTCCTCCCCCTCTCCATTGGCTTCAAGGCCAACAGCTCCTGGAACACAAACACTCTTGTAAACTTCTGAACCACACAGCCCTATGGTGGGTGGGTGTTTGCTCCCTGCCTGCCAGTTCCAATCCACCCACAGATTCCAAAGGCCCAGAACAAAAAGCAGACTCCATTTTCCATATTTAACAGGCAATTCGTTTCCCTCCCCATCGCCTTCATTTGCAGAACTTGGCGCCTCTCACAAGTATCGTGTCCCACCTTTTACACATTCCCCAAGTGGAGGGTATCATGTTTATGCATGTGTTTATATAGGCATACGAAAAGTATATTCTAAACGAATTCACCCCAGTCCCCTCTGGTTTTAGATGCCTGCTTAGCCAGGAAGAACTGGAGATTATGAAGGACTGTGCTGCATATTGCAGCTATTTGACAAAATGTTTGGGAAGGGCCTATTGTGAAGATTGTGAAGAAGGAAAATAAGCGAAAAATAAGTGTGGGTGCAAATGTGACACATCAAAATTCCTACTGTAGCTCACATTAGACTGTAAATTCTTTATAGCAGCAAACATCTAAGTTCTCCATGTTTGTACCGCACATATTCATTTCTAATTGTGACATTCTGGTACTGAAGTGAAACAATTTCTGCATGACCAGGATATTTCCTTCCCTCCTTTTCTTTCGAGACTCATCTGTTACAGGTCATCATTTTCATTGATCATTTCCCTTACAATGAAACCAGGGAATGCTAAACTATCCAGAACCTGCAGAATAAGGTTTCTAACTCTCTGTTGAAAAAGACATATATGAGATTCAGAATGTCTTTTTCAATAAAATATTTCAATTTTTCATCAACACAGAGATTCTGCTTGCAGACAATTATTTCACAAATGCTTACCAACTTCTTATCTTTTTGGCTAAAACAAATTTTGAAATGCTTATTTTTAAAGCGACCACAATTTTTTGTACATGTTTCTCTTACATATGTACTGAAATAAGTGAATTTTAGAACACCTAAAAAGTCACAAGAAAAAGAAAGTTTCATGAATCAGTCATATTTAAGATGAACCAAACAAGAAATTTCACTGTCTGAGAAGGTCAGCAATGGACTCATGTCGACAAAAATGTTCTCTTTTTTTAATTAATGGAGAAATCGACTATTTGCACAAGGCCTTTCAGG